GGAACCTAGGCATGTATTTCTTGATCTGCTATGTATATTTTGTCAGTAGCTTGTAGGAGTAATATGGTTCTCTCTGGTTTTCAAAATTAGCTAGGCATTGTTTATGTCTTGCATTGTCGCACCCTTCCATCATGGTTTTCCCTCTTAAGGTGCCCCCATTGCCCCCCTTTCTCTCTTAATCATACCCTTTTCCTATGGTCCTACCTCTCTTGAGCTCCTTCTTTCCCTTTATCCCCTAGGTTCCTTGTATACCCTTCCCTCCCCCCTCCCTTAAACTAACCCAATTTTTATCCATATCTCCCTTATTAAGGCCTGTTTCCTACTGTTCTTCTCTTTCAGGCAAATACATACTTTAAAAAATATTCTATTTATTTTATATATATGACTGTTCTGCCTGCATGTCTGTAAGTGTACCACGTGCATTCAATGCCACACAGAGGCCAGAAGAGGGTGTCGGATCTCCTGGAACTAGAGTTACAGATGGTTGTTAGCTGCCATGTAGGTGCTGAAAATCAAACCAGGGTCCTCAATAAATGTTCTTAACCACTGAGTTATCACTCCAGGCCCACAAATACATTCTTTAAATGTCCCACAAACAATAGTTACCAGTATAGGGAAATCCAAGAATAATTAAAAATTTAAAAAATTCTCTAAGGCCTTAAATAAAACCAAAAACAAGGGAACCGGGAGAGGTTTTTAAAGGGGACTAAAATGCTGAGACTTCACCCTGAGACACTGGCAGTAGAGAGGATGCTGAGCCATTTGGCCACATCTCCTGAATGGTCACAGTCAGACCCAGAGGCTTAGACTGTGTATGCTTGTGATGCTCAAGGCATTGTCCTTCACAGAGTTCTGTCCCACCCTGCAATAATTATAGAATTCCCAACTGTGCTAACTCTCCTGAGGATGCTGATTTGGCTCATATCCCCCTTTGAAAGGCTCTGAAAAGACACCTAGGGTGCCCATTCCTTTGCACCTGTTCTTCATCTCCACAAGGGCCTGAACCCAGTGCACACGTGTGCAAAACTGAGCTCACATATTTATAATTTCAAAGCAGCTTCAGTTTATGTGGCTGAGATTCTTAAAAGGCTTCATATAAATAAATAATAAAGGTTAAATCAGAAATTGTCCTTATGCACTATTTTTCCAATCTGTTAAATGAAAGTGCAGAAAATTTTCTATCTTTATGAGCCTGTCATTTTAACTGCACATGAATGAGTAGGGCAGTTAAAAAGAAGTGAGAACATTTTGTCAAAAATACACATTTATTTCTAGGACAATTTAGGTCAGCATTTAAATGGCCATCAAGAATTCTGTGGACTGCTAGACAAATACAGTGACAGAGCTATATTTGACATTTAAAATTATATGTATACTCCTTAGATACCCACATGGAAGATCCTTCAACATTCAGGTAAATGGTTTAATTCAGGGAGATTTGGAAGATGGCTCTTGAATCAGACATCAAGGCTGTGTACTTTCAGTGTGATGCCCTCACATCCAAGTGTTTCTCCAGTTTGCTTAGCTCATGCACATGTCTGTATACCGAGTTAGGTGTTCACGTGTGATCTGTTGAACTCACCCCATAGCAGAGTGTGGACAAGCATTTGGGTGCATGTGGCTGACTGAGGTGATGATCCCAATTAGCATGAAGGAGGTTGTATGAAGAGCATGCTGGTTATTTTCTGTCAATTTGACACAAACTAGAGTTGTCTATTATGAGGAAGCCTCCATCGAGGAATTATCTCTGCCAGACTGGCTTGTGGCACATCTGTGGGGCATTTTCTTGATTGCTGTTGATGTGGAGGACCCAGCCCAGTGTGGGGTGCCATCCCTGAGCAGGTGGACCTCAGCTGCATAAGAAAGGTAGCTGAGCAAACCAGGGAGCGAGCCAGTGAGCAGTGTTCCTTCATGGTCTCTGCTTCAGTTCCTGCATCAAGGCTCCTTTCTGCCTTGGCCTCCCTCAATAGTGGACCATAGCCTGTGAGCCAAATAAACCCTTTTCTCTCCAAGCTGCTTTTGGTCAGAAAAGCAAACTAGAACAGAGAATAAGACTGGGAAAGAGGAAAGCCAATAAAATTATGATATGCCGCAGGACCTTTCGAGATACGTCCCTGGTGTTCCCCTCTTAAAACATTTAGGATGAAATACCTACTCCTGGCTTCCTGTCTCCACTGTATGAAGCTCTTTAGGGACCATCCATGCTCCTATAATTCAGACTGCTATGTCACCTTGTGGCTTTGGTCTATTCTTAGACAAAAATCCAGAGCAATGCTGTCAAAGTGTGTACAGAAATGATGTGCCGGATAGCTTTAGTGTCAACTTGACACACCTGGGTTGAGGGAGACTCAACTGGGGAATTGCCTCTATTGGACTGGCCTGTGGCCATGTCTGAGGGGCATCTTCTTGATGAGTGATGTGGGAGGGCCCAGCCCACTGTGGGTGGTGCCACCCCTGGGCAGGCGGGCCTATGTTGCATAAGAAAGCAGGCTGAGCAGGGGCCAGGGAAACAAGCCAGTAAGCAGCATTACTCCATGGCCTGTGCTCTAGCTCCTGCCTCCAGGTTTCTGCCCTGAGTTCCTACCTTGGGCTCCCTGATGAACTGCCCGTGACCTTGGAGATGGAAGCCAAATAAACCTTTTTCTCCCCAAATTGGTTTTCGTCAGAGTTTTGTCTCAGCAGCACAATGAATCCGAAATCTCTTGTCAGATTAGTGTCAGGAGATACAAGTATGGGCCCAAAGCTTATGTTCCCTTCAGATAATGGTGAGATACGTACCCAGTCCTCTTGAAAAGTAGCCAACAATAATGTGGAGTACAG